TTTGTAGGTTGATTGCGAAACTAGCACTAAAATAAGGGAAACTTTTAGAATGAGACACAACATTCAGTTATTCGAAAGAAACTGGTACAATGTAAGAAAAATACATTAAATTGTAGCTTGGAACGGACAATCCACGAAAGTTTCTGTGAATGTCAAAGTTGATGAAACGATCTCAAAAATAACCACACAGAATCTTACCTCGGATATCTTGTTTTTGGCAGCTTCAATATCAGCCTTCATTTTCTCTCTCTTTTTCATTAGGGCCATAGCCCTGGCTCCTTCTTTTGCGGCTCCCTTGTATTCCGCCATTTTGTCTCCTTCTTGCTTTTTTAGCGCTCGCACTGCCTCTTGGAACTAGTGCCAGTTTTTTCAGAGTGAGAATCCCAAAAAAACGTTTGTGTGTGACTGGAGCCGATTAGTATATCGGCTCCTGGTGTGACAAAAGTGATCTCGTTATTACTTGCGTCTTTTGTAGACTGTTCGCAGTCCCCTATTTTTTCGTGAGATCGTTTCAATATACCGCGTCTTACTGTCACGGGTATCTTGATTTTCATTCTCGCTTCCTCCCATCCGCCCCCGCCCACTAAGTAGTTTTGACACTCATGCAAGTTGGCAGCCCGTAACAGAAAGCGCTCGATCTCGCGATGATCTTACGGAAAAATAGAGGACTGTGAACAGTCTACGTCTTTTGTTGCGATCATCGCTTACTGTGTTCTGGTCCAGTTTTACACACGGATCTATTTAGAGGAAGGTCAAATGTGGCGGGAAAATGGGCTCCTGAACATCTTTATTGTTAAGCTTGTCGCTAGTGCTGTCGTCTGCGTAAGTTTGCCAGGGGCACCCCCCCGGGGGGGGGGGGACTTGAGTTAATTTTTGCTGGATATGTGCCGCTGGCCTCTTAGGGCCCCTACCCCATTATAGTCTCTTTTGGGCAAATGTGTAATTTTCGCGATTCCAATTTAGTCACTTTCTATTTATGTATCTACCTTATATTGAATGAAGAAAACATTACTTTTCACCTACAATACAAACATTCTGGTACGTTTGCTAACCGTAAATATGAAGAACTGTCTTACCCCAAAAATCAGAAAATGTGTGACCCCATTCTAGTAACTCTATTGAAAATGCGAGCCAATAGTCAATCCAGTCGTGAAAATGTGACCCCATCAAGCGGCACATCCCCATTAGCCTCTTATAAGGAAGTACCCCCCGGGGGGGGCACCCAACGACAGTTTCCTCCTAAATACACTGAAAACACTTTTTAGGCTATCCAGAGTACCGTATTTATCCGATTAACCGCCCTGAGCGCCTATTACATTTTTGGACCTTAAGAGTGGGCGCTTAAATTTGCACCATTTTCAGCAAGTGTAGTATGTTTATAATATTTTGCAACAAAACAGTAAATGCTCATACCAAAAGGCGAAGAAATAACAAAGCAAGGTTTCTGTAAAATACTCTGAAGAAAACTCCGTCTTCGGGAAAGTCTTATTAGTACTTATTCAATTTCAATTTCAATATCATTGTCACTCAAGTGGGAGGGGTGGGGCTGGGCGCTTATTTGAGTTTGATTGAGAGGGGGAGGGGGTAGGGTGGGCGCTTAGACGAGGCTGGGCGCTCATTAACTTTTTCTGCCTTTAGGATGGGCGCTTATTCGAGGTGAGCGCTAATTCGAGGTTGGGCGGCTTATCTCTGGAAAAGCATTCTAAGCGGCGCTGTAAAATTTGTATCTGTTGGGTCATCCTAGGGGAACGTGAATCTTTTCGAAATTTCAAGGGCTTGAGCATTATTTTCCCTAAAAGTTTAGATGAAATTTGACGTACAGTCGAACCTGTATTAAGCGGTTACTCTCAGGGAATGGCTAAGTGACTGCTTAAAAATATGTAATTTGATTGATGCAACGACGGGATTTGAAGTCATTATGACGTAATACTGTTTTAATTAGCTGGCAGAACCGAAAAGTGAAATCTGCGCCACGGCGTAAAACATTTTTTATCATTTTTTTCCAGAAAATAGGAGATCCGTTCGAGGAAAAAACTATGTGACGTTCTAGTTACCTATCAACTGTTATACCTGTATCGAGAAGGGGAGCAAATTTGATATTTTGACGCTTGCCGTGTCATGGATGCTATTTGCACGGATTTTCTTTTAAGTTTTTGCTACGACAAATGTAAGGTTCATGCGTTGGCCTCCCTTCCCCTCTCTCGTTGAGTCTTCCCTCAGCCTCTTCGAGAGTCTGTACCGACGGACGGGTGGGTGCACGCTGACATTATATTAACAACTTAATTTCCTCGCATCGATAGGTTTCTAATTTCTGTGGTTATGGAGGCTCTGCTACAAAAATGTGGGCTTAAATCAGACATAGCCTCTTTAGTCCGCAGGCGTGAGACTCACTCTTGCGGACTAAAGACATGGATCTTACGCATCACACCTTACTCACAAATCCGATTGATTAAAAAACTCAAATCAATTTCCCCAAAAACATTCCAAAAAGGGGCTGTCTGTTGACTTCTGTTCTAACTGTATAACAACACGCTGAAATTGTCACATTTTAAATAACTTTGAAAGTGCTCAAAGGTCGTCGGAACATCTTCGTACATTTTCGGCAACGTTCGTAAAACTTCGGAAAATCGTCGGAAATCCCGGTCTTGACAAAACAGAAATATCAACGGCTTGCAGCCGATGCATGTGAGGTAAAGATTGTTATATCGTGGCTACTTTCACACGGCACCGGAAAAATTCTCGACCGGTTGAAAAATTGGGCCGGACACTTCGTTCACGCGGAAACATGCAAGATTTTTGCTCTGTTCACTCGTAACTGACGAACCAGGTTGTTAGAGGTTTACTAGCTGCCCACGCGCATAACGCTACTTTAGCAAATCCGAAATGGAGTCTCCCAGCTGTTCATACAACCAATGAGAAAGATCCCATTCTGAAAGAAAGACTGTTTGGTTTAACATGAACTGAAGGTCAGAATATCTAGCTATCCAATTTAATAATATTTTTGACCTCGGCATTGAGTTCACTTTTGAATCTTTTGTTTGGACAATTTCTTTAATTACGAAAGACTCGGGGGCAACGCCTTTGCCGTACGAAAATTGTACGGTTATGGTTAGCCTGGGTTATGGTGTGCCGCACCGCGCCACTCAAATTTACGACCTTACCAGCTAAAATTTTAAAGTCGATTTTGGCGCTCAAAGTTTTTGAATGGTTACACTAGGGCTCTAAATTTTCGTACGGTTTAACCCACTATTTTTCAACCGGTGGAAAATTCGTCGTGTGAAATGAATTAATCAAAAGAAGTCCGACCCGTTGACATGTGACGAGAGGTCACGTATGAAGTATTTTAACGTTTTGATAATTTTAGTGTATCATTAACACCTATTATCAAATTAATCTCGCACAAAGACATATCCACACAACCGCGAGATAGTAAGGAGTGAGTATTTTAAACATTAAAGCTCGATTCAAAATTGCTTGTTTCCATATGTTCACTTCCACATAAATCTTTCTATTAATTGTTTATGCCATTTGTGCAAACATAAAATGGATTCAATTATACTGATATTGGTAAACTGTTTACTCAGGAGTTACTTCAAATATTTCCTAAACTGAAAAAAAATCAACTGCTATTTGCAACTTGATTGATTGTTTCTCGCTGTTCTAATCGTCGACGTAAAATTGTTTCAGGTGAGTGAGTAGCCTCGTAAAGGAATTTGAACGACTGGTTTTGTTCAGTTAAGATTAACAAATAATACTTCGTACAATTTTACAACTTCTGAGCCTTTTTACGATACGATGCGTTGACAGTACAACTTAATTTTGACTATCTATCTTTCACAACTGTTAATAATTGTCAGGGTGCTTTTCTCACTTTCCAACCAGCCTCGCAAAGAATTCATGTAGTCGTTTTCCCGTGGCTTCGGGGAAGGCCGGTAGGCCCTTGAAGTAGGCGCATCTCGCCGCAAACGTCGCACGCGAGAAAAAAAAAAAAGCTTAATACAAGGAAGGCGCACTTTAACCCTAAAAACTCGAATTTAGCTGCCAAACATTAAATTTTCATCAAACACTGGTATAACTTTGATTTATTTTCCATTTTATTTCTGTTTATTTGTATTCCAAATCCTCGTTACGCTTACTTACTATTACGGGCGTAGTTCGAATTGCGAATGGTCTCTTTGTCACTGCTTATTTTACTGCAGTAAACGAACATAAATTATCTTAGTTAACAATTCTCTAAGCAGATAGCCTGAGTATTGGGGCTTCCTTAGGAACTATGGGAGAGAAGATTTTAAGGGAGGAAAGGTTAGGGAGAAGAGAAAAAAGAAGTTTCTCTCCTTTCCGTCTTTCTGTCTGCCCTTTTTGTTTCTCTCTCTCTCTTTCTTCTCTCTTCTTTCACAGTTTAAAAGAGCAGTTACTTGAAACATTCCATTTTAAACAGATATTGCTATAATACTCTCAAAGGATTTTCATTGTACTGCCGCATTGCCGATAATTTTACGTGGCACCTATTCGATCTCTCGTCATTAGCATACGCAGGCTTGCAGATCTGTACAGCACGCAACCTTGCAAGTCACAGACGGCACATCAATTCTAGGATTTTTTTTATTAAGATGTAATGAAAAATAATTTTAATGGTAACGCACATTTGATAATCTGTGCGGAATTCCTTATTAACAACAATTAAAATATAGTTGTTATAAAGAGTATTAAATGATAATATTAATCATTAACAACCGAACATACTTTATTGCTAACAATGCTAACTCTGATGCTAAAATCCTATTCACAATTTATTCACTTTAAAAAAACTTTAAAAAACTCTATTTACAATTCCTTTCGTTTAAAAAAACACTTAGTTTTGATTAGAAAAAAAATCATGTAATTAAACAAAAATTATTCAAATTAAGAACATTTCATTTCAATTAAAACAATTCATTTCCATTGAAAAAAACAAACTCTTTTCAAGGTCAATTGCATTCTTACTAAGAAAATCACTAATGATTATGATTATAATAAGTGCAAAAACGAGCATTATGAGCCTTAGTTTGAATTAAATCTCGTTCAACTAAATATCCGTTAGAGCTGCTGAGACTTAATACTATCCATTAATAGACAAATCAAGGACAGAATTGAAGCTCAATAGAGCAACTGAAAAACTGACCTTTTGAAGGCCAAAATTCATTTTTCTTTCAGAATGGTTGCAAAAGGAATTATTTCTACTTTCTGCTGTTTTGCTCTCCTTGCATTCATAGCCAAGTCAGTAGATGCAACTGTAAGTGTACTGTCGTTGTTTTCCTTTTTGTAGAATG